CCCCAAAACCCCAAAACCCCAAAACCCCAAAACCCCGTCACATACTATCAATATTGAATTTATGAGTTATAAAATATTCATCCGAGTACTTGAACCACAGTCGATATATACTGTGTCCTTGTCACTAGAAGATACATACGGAATGTATGCTACTTCTTTCCTGATTCCAGAGGCTCAGCTTTTCGCAGCTGTACAGGGAGATGTTTGCTGCTTGTCAGGTTCGTTTCAGGCTAAGCCTTTCGCCCTTTGGTTCAGCTTGCTCTTTCCAATGTGATCCTAAGGGTAATAAGAATTTATACCATTACAATTTTTGAAATGTCCTGTTTTGTCAGATTATTCAATTTCCTAAAGTGTTTTTCTCTAACCTTCTTGGTGTTTCCTCTACTCATATTTCGAAGCTTGAGCTTGAAACTAAGGATGAGGTCAGATCTTACCTCTGTGAGTACAAAGTATTCTTGAAGCTTCTCTTCAGAGGAGCTTCGGTTGTCTTTGCATCCAAAGTAGAGTTATTAGAGATACTCATCATCTGAGCTTCCTCATTTGATAGCCGTGTGGGCAAGATTCCGTTAGTGTACCCTCCTCCAAGTTTCACTTTGAAAGGAGAGCCTAGTTTTACCAAATTTTTATGCCTAGAGAAAATTTAGAAAAATTATATGACTTGTAGATCACCTTATGCTCAATGAGATCTTTTCACTTTTGACTAAGAAGTTGCAAGACTTATTCAGATTTCTTCTGTTTTGGGCCCCACTGGAAGGCATCTTTTGAGTGTGTCTGTGTGAGATTTGGCTCTACCGATAATTACTGGAGCTTACTCTTTGAGATACCTGGAAAGAGGTAGTGTAGTTGAGCAGCTTGTGCACTTGTCGTGGGTTTAAATTATCTCTCCTAAAGATTCACTAAAAACGTCTTACAAAGACTGATTTGCAATAATAGTTTTTATGTTTGAGTTATTAAACACTGCCGGAATTTCGTCATTAAGAGCTTGTTGGAGCCCAGGCTGGATCGATGGTGATGGCTCTAAACCATTCCTAACCTCTCTTGCCTACAATATTAACCTGAGCTGTACCTTCTTGGAAGAATAGTCTGTTGTATCCTCGCAAAATTTAGACTTGGACCCTAAAAATTACATAAAAACTCCACTTCGGCTCTTGATTCGGGACCAGGATTCCCTGGGGGTGAGGTCAATGATAGCTGTAGATTGCTTCTAAACCAGTCAGCACTAAACATACCTGTTCTGGCCAAACTGTAGCATTGGTTCAGGGAGTCCTATCTTGTGTAAGTGCTCTCTGTCTTCTAAATCAAGTGTCATTTCAAGTTCATAAATTCATTATTGATAGTATGTGACCTCTCACTAATAAGCCTAAGCGTAATAGTGTCAGGCCCAGACTTGGAGGCTCGGTCTTACCTGCCTCTCATTGCTGATCTAGCAAACTGGGTCATATTCCCATTCTTCTTCAAGGGAATTCCTAAGTTGAATCTTCATTTTTGAGTCTTTCACTTCTCATAATTCAACAATTTTTGCTTGCTGAGTGGAATTCTGGATCTCAAATATTTGTTACAGCTGAAATGAACTGCTTTTTGCTGAGATTTCGTTCTAAAATTATCAACCATTACGTACCTAGATTGATCTTTTAGTTGGGGCTGAGTTTTGGAAGACCCAGATTTTGTAAATTTAGACTCCATTCTTCTGGGGTCTACTCATGAAAGGTCCTCATTTATGTTATAAAGGCAACTCTGTAGGGATGTCAAGAGGTAAACCTACCCTTTCTGACATTTCCTCCCAATTTCTGGGTGTGCTGTGTGAGCTACTTTTCGTTTCTGGAGAAAATGAACTCTCGTTTGGGGATTCCAGTCTTGGAAAAGAACTTTCTTCTGTTCGAAGGACTATAAAGAATGTGTGAAAATTATATACATTTCGCACTTTTCAGAATTTCTGAAAGCTGGCTTAGCTATCTACATGACAAAGCTGGCTCCGAAGTGAGACTCAAATGAAAAAGTAGATTAGTTACCGTTTTCCATGTTGATTCAATAATTTTAGTTTATTGTGGGGTTTTGGGGTTTTGGGGTTTTGGGGTTTTGGGGTTTTGGGG